CTTAAAGGTTCCACTGGACTCAAATCTTGTTCAGAAGTCCAACGTTATTGAATGGGGCTTCCTTCCAGGAAAATATCCTTAGGATTGCACTATAAGTGAACTTTGTAAGTGCTGTTTCCCCCTTTCCGCCCTTTTGCTGAGGAAACATCAGTGTGGGGATGGGTCTTTAAGAGAAATTTTAAACCATTCCTGTACATTCTCCTCTGCAAATGCATCCCAAGCCACTTTTCCTTAATTAGCATAATTTTATTTATGTCATTTATCCTCTGTCTTTCCCATAGAGGTGGATTACACAGCATGAGACAATAAGCAAAATGAATGGGATGTCCAATAAACAATCCAATAGAGGTTTGGATTGCAGAAATCTGAAAATGAGCAGAAAAAACAGAGCTGAAATCTTGGTACTAGATACCCACCAGTGGCTGAACCCTTTATTCTTATATTTGGTGTACTCCCAGTAACTCTTCTTGGCCTTCCTCCCTGGTTGTGTTATGTTTGTTGTATGTCCACATGTTTAATTGAATTGTTTAAATGTTTTATATATACCTTATTTTAAATGCTGTTTTAATGTTTTTAATGGTTTAGTGTTTTGATGTGCAGCACCTTTTTTACACTGTTTGGGTAGAAAGGTAGCATAGACATGTTTTAAATAAAATGAATATATACTTTGTGTGTGTTTTAAGTGACATCAAGTCACTTCTTTTTTTGTGAATATTTGTGTGTGTGTGTGCATGCTTACATGCCTGGAAGTCATGGTGACTTCTGACAGCCCCTAGTGGGGCTTGGATGTTTCAGAGCGGTGGATTGATATTGCCTGCCTCTGCGTCCTGACCCTGGTATTCCTTCCGAGTACTTGCCAGGGTCGACCCTGCTTAGCTTCTGGATCTGACAAGATTGGGCTTGCCTTATCTATCCAGTTCAGGGCAAGTGCCATCAAGTTGCTTCTGACTTACATCAACCCTATGAATGAATGACCTCCAGAACATCCTATTGTTAACAACCTTTCAAGTCTTGCAAAATGAGGGGTGTGGCTTCCTTGACTGAGTCAGTCTTTCTTTCCGAAGAAGATGGAGGTCCTGTGCCTGAGCCGAGGCGGTCTGAGGGTAGGGATCCCACTCCCGACCTTCAATGGGGCTCCAATGGTGCCAGTGCCAGAGGTTAGGAGTTTGGGAGTGCTCCTGGATGCTTCCTTACCAATGGAGGCCCAGGTAGCAGCCACTGCCAAATCAGCCTTTTATCACCTTCGGCTGATCAGGCAGCTGTTTCCATTCCTCAAACTCAATGAATTGGTGACAGTGATCCATGCTATTGTCACCTCAAGACTGGACTACTGTAATACCCTCTACGTGGGGCTGCCCTTGTCTCAAATCTGGAAGCTGCAGCTGGTGCAACATGCCATGGCCAGGCTTTTGATGGGACTCCCAATCCAGGAGCACATCCAGCCTGTGCTAAAAGCATTGCACTGGCTGCCAATAGCATACCGGATCAATTTCAAAGTGCTGGTTCTTACCTTTAAAGTCCTTTATGGCCAGGGACCTACATACCTGAAGGACCGCCTTTCCCCACATGTACCCCAGAGAGCACTGCGATCAGGGACCCAGAACCGGCTGGCCCTCCCAAGTCTCAAGGAGGCCAGGCTAGCAACAACTAGGGCCAGGGCTTTCTCGGTGGCAGCTCCGCTCTGGTGAAATGAGCTCCCAGAGGAGATCAGGGCCCTGCGGGACCTTTTGCAGTTCCGCAGGGCCTGTAAAATGGAGCTCTTCCACCACACCTTTGTAGCCGCTGCCATTGCCAACATCTGACAGCCTAAGGCTAGAGAGACCTGTCCCTCCCTGGGACCCTGACGACAGCCTGAGCTAACCACCTGTGACGGTCTAGGAGATCAAGAAGCCGACTGAGAAGAGAGAACAACCGCTGTGTAATTAGTAATACTAGCACTTTACTATGTTTTTTAGGATTAATTGCTTTTAGGATTGTTTAAATGTTTTAACTATTGTTGTTTAACTTATACTTTATGTATCTGTAAATGTTATGTTGTTTGTAAGCCGCCCTGACCAGCTTTGGCTGGAAGGGCGGGGTAGAAATTTAATAAATAAATAAAATTTAAAAATAAAAATTCTTATATGGGTCTTCCTCTGTACCTGCTTCCTTCAATTTTTCCTATCATTATTGTTTTTTCCAGTGAGTCTTGTCTTCTCATAATGTGAACTAAGTATGATAGCCTCCATTTGGTCATTTTGTCTCTAGGGAGAGTTTAGGCTTGATTTGATCTAGAACCCTCTTATCTGTCTTTTTGGTGGTCCATGGTATCTGTAAAACTGTCCCCCAACACTGTATTTCATATGAATAAACTTTCTTCATTGTCCAACTTTCAAACCTATACATAGTAATGAGGAATATTACAGTATGAGATATATTGACCTTGGTCTCCGGTGACACAACTTTATACTTAAGGGTTTTTTTCTAGCTCTTCCATGGCTGCCCTTCCCAGTCTCAGTCTCCTCCTGCTTTCTTGGTCTCAGTCTCCCTTTCAACTTCACAACAGTCCTTAGCTGTATAAAAAGTAAGAAAAAGTGAATTTTAGTTAAGCCAAAGAACTACATCTGGCTTACCTGGAGACTGATTATTATAAGAGATAGAGGGAAAAAAAGAAAAATCTTAAGTGATATTGAGGCTAGTTGACAGGAAAAGTCTCTGGGGCACTGTTAGTAGTTAAATTCAGTTAATATTGGGCTGCCGCTTAAATGATAAATATCACACTTTATGCAGCTGCCACATGTGGACATGAGTAATCCATTCATCAGTTTATGGATAGTCCCCAGACAGTCTCACAAATCCATACAATGCCACCTCTAAGTGCTTTTGTGTCTTTTCTGTAGAACGGGGGAAAACCGAGAAATCACATTCAGCTAGACAAGCCTCAATTGACTATGAATTAAAAGATACTCCTGTGCATGCTTGATTTCTTTTACACAACGTGCTGAACGTGCTAGAGGGACGAAATAGACTGCAGCATCTGGTTCAAGCAGAATATTCATACTTCAAACTTGCAGCAGTCTCTCTGTCTCTCTCTCTCTAAAAATAAAAACGTATCCCGTCTTTCTTTAACAGCCTAAGCCAGCTTACATCATAGCCATAAACCATCATCATAAAACCCTATCTTGTTATTAATTTTTTTAAATAGCTGCTATAATGATGTGATAACCAGCCCCCTGTTCAAGTCATATATGCTTCACTGGCTGCGGTCCTGAGAATGGTTTCCTTTTGAATTAAACAGGATTTACTTCTGAGTAAGCCTGCTTGGGAGTGTTTCCTCTGTGAGCAGTAATAAGTAACATGGTATGCCCTGAGCATTACAACCGTCATCTCAGTTTGTCATGATCAGTCCACTATAGGGGCGAATGGGGCATTTGTGCCAGGTACTGTAAAGTCCAGCATCCTTGCCTGGGCAGCTGTCAAGGCCACTAGCATGACCAATGGGACACTTATGGGTGGGTCCTTCTATTTTACCTTTTCCCACGATTTGTGGAGTCTACCAAGTACCAAACCATGAATTTTTCTTGCAGTGTCACAACAGGTTGCAACTAATGGAAAGCTGCACTGATGTTATGGAAAGCTCCCTACCCCTCATCCTAAAGTGAACTACCAGCTAGTCCCAACAATGTTGTTACATGCCCATCTTGCCCCCGTGTTGGCAGCTTCCATGTTTCAGAGAGCATACGCTGAAATGTACACATCTATGATCGATCCAGGTGGTCAGCTGTATTGGTCTGAAGCAGTAGAACAAATTTAGAGTTCAGTGGCACCTTTAAGACCAATAAAGTTTTATTCAAGGTATGAGCTTCTGTGTGCATGCACAATTTTTCAAATATATTGGAAGGAAGGTAAGGTTCAAACTTACAGACAGGGGCTGAAGAGCAAATTAACATGTAACATGATGAAGATGCTTTAAGATACTCGAAGAGAAAACTAAATAAGAAGCTAAGGTTATAAGGTTATTGCTTTACAACTGTTGACCTTATAACCTTAGCTTGTCATTTAGTTTTTTCTTCACATAACTTAAAACATCTTCATCATGTTACATGTTAATTTGCTGTTCAGCCCCTGTCTATAAATTTGAACCTTACCTTCCTTCCAATATATTTGAAAAATTGTGTGTGCACACAAAAGCTCATACCTTGAATAAAACTTTGGACTTAAAGGTGCCACAGGACTCTAAATTTGTTCCACACACGTAGGTTATTATTTGGTATCTCAGATTCTGCCCTGTATGCAGATGGTCCCAGTGTGAGCACATGTAGAATCCTGTTGCCCCACTGTGTGTTCAGTAAGCACACCTCTGCAATTTAAGCAGCAAAGATGTGCGTGCTGAAAATGATTCCTAATATTGATTCCCAAGAAGAGGGTCTTTTCATTAATTCAATTTCCCTATTGTTGGCACATCATTTCAAATGTATTTGTCTATATTTTATGTCCCTGTAGCAGAAAGTTGGGATTTTTTTTTGCTGAGTCAAACACTGTGCTCCCTTTCCTTCTCTAGAGATGAAAGAGCAGAGTTATTGCTCATCCGTCATTTGACCTGAAAACTATTTCAGTATTAAAAGGATAGTGAAATAACTCCAGGAGTTTGTCTCATTGGGATAGATATGATTTCCCCCCTTCTTTTTCTGTTTCCTGTAAGAAATAGTGGGGGGGGGGGCCTGTTGGGGCTGACTTTGTTGTGGAGAAGCAGCAATTAGCACTACCATAGCAGCAGCATCCCAGAGGACCAGCTTGCCGTTTTATGCAACAGGTATGAAACAGTGAGCTTTACTGGAGCCAGCGAGTTCATATCCCAGAAGAACTGACTCAGCCTTCATCCTATGCAGGGAGATTAATAGAAACAAGACTTAAAAAGCAGGGATAACATTTTCCTCTGTACACCTTGAAGATCCCCAGTGTTCCTACCATGAAAGTAAGGACATTTTAAGTTTATTCCCCCGAAAGGGGGAGTATATAAGTCTGTGTTCCAGATTCAGTATACAGAAAGATTCAGTGACCATAACTCATAGGCTGTTAATCTCTGGTGATCGTGTGCTTGATTTTTGGGAGCCTCTGTAACAGAGGCAGTATCAGGGGAAGGCCTCGGCCTTTATGATTCTAACTTGTTTTTACTATTTTACTGTTTTTATTAGGCCAATGGGCCTGTGGGCTGCCCTGAGCCTGCTTTGGCGGGGAGGGCGAGGTATAAAATAAATAAATAAATAAATAAATATCACCCTGTTTGTGGGTCCTGCAGGGCAAGTGGTTGGCCTCTGTGTGAAACAGGATGCTGGACTAGATGGACCCCTCCTCTGATACAGGAGGCTCTTTTCATGTTCTTACGTAGAGTTTGCAGTCAGCTGCAGGTGTTATACTTGGGAGCTCTTTGGGCAGACGTCCAACCTCTCTTTGAAAGGCAGGGCTGCCTTTAATTGACGTTGTGCAGAATGCTTTATCTGTAGGCAGGAAACTACAGGATTGTGTTCTAATTGCATAGGCAAAAACAAACATCTGCACATGGATGGGACCCTTGAAATCCAACCAGGTGGAGGCTATTCTAAGTAGCAGACTGTATGTGTAGCCACTCATTGTACAGATCTGCGAGATTCATAGCAAACTTCCACCCCTCTTTGTATGAGCAGAAAGGGATTTCGGCAAGAGGAATGCTGAATTCTCACTTACTTTTGCACCACCACCCCAGTGCCATACCCCATGCCATTCCTGAAAAGCCCCTGACCCTCAGGAGCTTGGGGAGAGGGTAGAGTGAGAAGCAACAAAAATCAGTCCTGCTTACATTTCTGTTTGACCAAGCCTTTTGGTAATGTAGCTACATTGGTAGATCTGTGTGGCAAGTAGCTCACCATGTTGAGCAATCTCCGCTTTCTTTAGATTTCAGACAAGAAGGGCAGAATCAGTAAGTAGGGAGAGAAGTTCTCAAAGACTTCAGCACATTTGATGCAGCCTCCCCTTGGATGTTTGCATGTGTGAATTGGCAATAACTGAGAGGAATGTATCAGTACAAAAAAGGGAAAAGGCTGAGCAAAAAGCCTATGGAAATATTTAGAATAAGAATCTCATCAGTACTTTTATGAATTGGATTTATGATCAACAATCTCACCTGTTTGGCAGTGTGGGTTTATAACTTGACCTCTTCCTATTGAATATTGAGATATTTGAATGAAATTAGTATGCACATTCAGGACACAAATTTGGTAGGCACACTCAGGACATATTTCATGTTTGAATGTCATCTTGATGTCTGCACCTGTTTCCAGAGGGGCCAGAAAGATGTAACATGCCATAATGTGATATCTTCCTCAACAACCGAAATATTGTAGTAGAACTTGACATGCATTTTTATGACACAATTCGTCATTTGAAATGCAAATATCCTTGAATGCTGCACTAATTTTTAAGGAGGGAGAAGTGGAGGAAGTGCATTGTAATGCATTATGTAGAGTGAGGTCTCTAACATTGGGTGCGTTCAGACGGGGCCTTTCTGCCGGCATAAACGCGATCACACTTACCTCCATTTTGCGGATCCCATCGGTGTATGCCCGCTCACACGCTGCGGGCGTCGGTGGTTTTTTTCTTAAACACAGTTTGAGCATGCGCATAGGCAGCCATTCACAGAATGGCGATCTTTGTGCATGCTCAAACCTCCCCCCATTACATTTAAACTTTAAAGGTAAGGACTTACCTTTAAAGTTTAAAGAGCACAGTAGCCTCCCGGAGGTCCCGGACGCCTCCGAAACGCTACAGTAAGGCCCTGTTCTTTTTTATATATACAAATGGCAGGGCGAAGCTTCCCCCAAGCGCATATCGCCATCCTTAAAAAAAAATGGCGGCCGAAAATCGGAAGCCTGAGGCTTCTGAACGGAAGTAGCTGTGCAACGGTGGAGAGCGATCAGACGGCGAGGTACAGCATTTACAACCGTTGCACTCAGGATACCACCACTTGGGACCGATACACCACTATAAGCCCTTTACACCGGTTAGGGACAGGAGGCAGATGTTCCCCGTCTGAACGCCGGTGAGTATGCCGATTGCAACCGGCACCTATACCAATGTAAAGCCCCCGTCTGAGTGTTGTACTGGTTATAACCCAGAGTGTTGTACTGGTTATAAATTTGGATGGGCACGTGGAGTTGGTGTCAAGAGGCTTCTTTTTAGTGATATGGGAATACTATTAAGACTTCTGTTCAGCATATTTCTGGACATCTCTTGTCACAGCCTCTTGTTCCCTGTGTGTGAAATGGCTCTTATTTCTGGGCTTTATTTTTGACTACTGTCATTTCAGTCAGAATACACAGCACTGTGTTTTGGTGTGTGTGTGTGTGTGTGTGTGTGTGCGTGTATGTTTTGCCCCACTGGAGCCAAGGTTGACTCCAGTCCAGATTATATGGACTGCTTGCATGCAGGAGGAAACAACAATGAACATGTTCTCAGAGTAATTTTAGCTGTTGGTAACTAGGTAAGGCGGATACAAGAGAGCCAGGTTGAAAGATGGTGTTTCAGCTGGCATAGTTCCATCAAAATCTGGAACGGGCCAGTTGATGTTGTTTCCAGCAGTGTCAAATGTTGCCAAAGGTGCTTTATTACTGATTTCTTGGAGAGCTCATTGGACAGTTATTCATATTAAATGAATGTCTGCAAGAAGATTTTTGAAAAGCAGGGGCTATTATGACATCAAAAATCCTAAACCTCCCTCCCAATGCTGATTGATTTTTTTAAAAGGACAGAAGCATTCAAATTTTAGGTAGCTTTCAAAAATAGTAGAAAATAAGAGACTATAAATCTAACAGCTGCTTAGCCATGATAACTAAATGCAGCCTCTATGTTCAGAGGCAGTATTTCTTTTAGATCTCAGACGCCGGGCACAAAGTTTGGAGATAGCTTTCCTTTGACACCCTGTTTGTCGGTTCCCTGCATGATTCTGCTAGAAACTGGACACTACCCAAAGCAATCTTTGGTTTAATCCAACAGAATTTATTACTAGAAATGAGGAAGAGATGAAAACGCAAGCTGGTAAAACTCCAGACTTTTCATTTGTCCCACTGCATGCAGATGCCAACTGAACCACAGGCAGAATTTAGAAGCCCATTCAGAACGTGGTACAAATGACCAAGAAATCCAGGGGCACAACTTTGTGTCATACTGATAATAATAATTTTGTGCCATGAAGTTGTAGCTGACTCATTGTGACCCGGGGACCATGGGGTTTTCAAGGCAAGAGATGAGCCAAGGTGGTTTGCCATTGCCTTCCTCTGTGTAGCAATCCAGATCTTCTGGCCTCCTATACAAGTACTCACTGTGGCCCACCCAGCTTCCCTCCCAGGCTCTGATGAGATCAGGCTAATCAGGACTATTCAGGCTGCTTTGTGTCATACTAACAGGTATCATTTTTCCTTGAAATGGAAAGGAAATCCCCGCGCTGTCTTTTAGGCCTTCACAGAGTGCTCTCCAGGGTGCTGTATGCATTCTGTAGCCTTCCAAAACTGCAAGCTCAGTAAAGAGCTGCAAAGGGAGAAGAGGGAGGCAAAAAGTAGCAATTTCGGTCTGTGGCTTTGGTTCAGTACTTTCATTTCAGCACGGAGACACTCGGTTTCAGTGCCATAAATTCAGGCTTAGGGCTGCTCTTCCTCTTCCGGGTTGCCTGTTCTCATTAATGAAGAGCTCTCCAGCGGTGCTTGGAAAACTCAGATCCTTGAGCAATCTCCATATTCTGACCTTGCCTACTGTAAGGTCAAATGAAGGCCTCATCTGCCTATATCAGACTCCTCGAAGGCCCTTGGTTTGAGTCTTGCTAGGAGCGCTTTGCACATCACATCCTACAGTGAAGGTGTCACTGAAAGTCCCCATTCCTCAGAAGGTTAGAAGGTCCCCCAGTTTGTGCAGTTCTGTACCAAGGTCTAGCAATTATGACATGTCTGTAGTTCCCCCAAAATATCTCCTCTTTCTAAAGTAATCACTATGATAGTTACAAAATTGCACCTTCTACAAAAAAAGCACCTTCTCGTGCTTTAAATTTTCTGGATTACTTGACTTTAGGTTTGTTTTTAAATAACCTTATTATTAGTGATGCTCACTGGCTCAAGAGCTATATGTGGCTCTTTGACATGACTCCTGTGGCCAGGGGTCATTTCGTAGAAAAAGAGCTAGGGGAACTCATTAGCATAACTCATTAGCATATGCCACACCCCCTGACATCACTAGAAGTGTGTCATAAGGCCACACCCCCTGACATCACCAGAAGTGTGTCATAAGGCCACACACCCCGCCCCCAACGGTCCTGGCCGCCGGCGCCGGCCTTGCAGCTCCACTAGAGGCAGGAGGAAGCAACTTACCCTCCCTCTTCTCCTGCCTCCTCCTGGCTGAATTAGGGCCGGAAGTGGGGCGGCTGGAAGCAGGGGGCGGGGTTTCGTCATGTGCCCCACCCCCCATACCTCACCCGGGGGAACTGCGATCCCCCGCGATTCCCCCCAAAATGACCTCTGCCTGTGGCTCTTCTGAGCACTGTTCACCAATTTGGCACCTGCCCCATGTTTCAGGAAAGTGGGCAAGGCTGTTGCCTGGTGAGGCTTGTTGTTGACAGGTGGTTCTCACCTTGAAGCATTCACTGCCAGAGGGCGTGGAGGATGAGTGAGCTGCAGGCTGTGCTAGGGATAGACCTAAAGGGTCCAGTTCATCATTTGGATTCAAGCATGGTTATAATCACATTCTGAACAGTTTTATCATGTTGTTGGATGTGTGCATTTGGTAGGGTGGTGCACGGAGCCCCTGGTACTCCTGGAGCTCTTTTGGTTTGTGATCATTGCAAATGTGTCTCTTTGAAGGCTATGGACTGAGTACCACTGATATATTGTTTAGATTTTTAAATGATGATATTTTGAGAATTTTAAGTGCCATAAAAACCTAATCAATCAATGTGAAAGCACTTCATGGATGTCACCAAATATGGTGTCAGCAAATAACTGCCCTCTAAAAGGACTATAAAT